AACGACAACAACTATCGAATGCAACACATGCAAAAGAGCTCGGATGGGGTGAGGCGTGCCCAAGTCCGCAATTACGTACCCTATCACTAAACAAGTATGAACATTCAAAGTCAAACGTTTCAGTCGAGGAGATCGTATCCGTATAAGCCGCCATTTGGTGAGCTAGTCGATAGCGATCCATCATTTGCCGAGATGGAGAAGATTGTTTGTGGAGCCAATGGGAAGCGACCACCTCTCGAACCATCTTGGACCAATGGCAGTAATGTGAGTGGAGCTAGTGATTGTCAATATAATTATCAACATTGTGATTAGAGCTATTGCGACTGGAGAAAGCTGCAAACTTGAGATGAACAGCTACTGTAAAGACTTAATATTGGGTTGATTCATAAACAACGCACGTACCTTGCGCTGAAGCATATAAAAAAATTCAAAAAACAATCTGTAAGTTGGTAGAGGAAAGCAGATTCTACAAGATGGCATTTAAACAGCTGCAGAAATTCAATCCACGTGCAGTTCGAAAGGAAATCTAAAAGATTTTGGATGCCCAATTGGATCTTTGTTCAAGAAATCTAAGGATCTCCAATTTGCTCCTCCAGACATTTTTAATGTGAAATGCTAGACTATTTCTGTGACTAATATTTTGAAAACAAAAAGAGTTTCCTGAATCTTACACTTCGCGAAACTAGGGTTTGCAGAAGTTTAATAATTTTGGTCTCGCTCAGAAAAGTTTATAGCATAGAATAGTCTATAGTATATTTACATGGGGCCAGTTCACCATTAATTTGAAACGTCATGTCAAATTTCGTTTTTTATTTCTAAACGTTGAAAAAATAGGACAACTTTACATAGGAAAATTCTGCTGTGAATGGTGTACATATGAAACGAGCTTCGCAGTACATTTCGCACATAAAAAATTTCGGTACAAAGATTTTGATTTCACTTCCAAAGAATGTGGGATGAACTCTTCGAGATTGTTCAAATGCCTTCTAGTAGAGCTTGCTTTACTCTATCTAACAATACGATTTTTCAAAATTTTTCATGTATCTGCGGCCCCTCTGCACTAAT